ATGTGTGTCCGTTCCAGAAGTAAAAGATAGGAGGTGCACAATTATTCATTGAGATCAACATACTTTATGAAAATTCTTGTTGCCTTGAAGTTGAATAAACCTGATTTTTCCAATAGTCTAACTGCTTGTGTATTCAAAAAATTATTTTTCCTTGGTATAGGGATAAAATAAAATCCAAATTCAAATGATAAACTCAAACTTTTATCTAAAGCGCTTTCGCCCCCTACGTTCTCATCAGTAGATTTGAAATTGTAAACAAGTTACATTATATATATATATATAGAAATCTGCATCATGCTGATTTTTTTTTTCCGGATACCGTTTTCGTATTTTTGGATAACTTCTTTCTATTATAATACCCAACGCAACAAGTTGCGGGAGGTATTATGTTTTTGACCCGTCCGTCAGTCAGCGTGTCAGTCAGTGAGGGTGTGTGTGCATGTGTATGTGTCAGTCAGTCCTGTTTTGGTTTGTTTTTATGCGCCCGGATCGATAGATCCGAGGCGTATATTGTTTTTGGCCTGTCTGTTTGTCTGTCTGTCTGTTGTCAACTTTAACCTTAGCGATAACTTTTGAACAATGAGAGACTTCATATTTGGTGTGCATACTCCACCAATAAAGATCTTTCAAATGACACCAAGGTCAATGACCTTGTGACCTTGACTGTGACCTATTTGCTAAAAATAGCTTCTTCGAACTTTCGCAATAACTTTTTAACCATGAGAAACAGAGACTTCATATTTGGTATGCATACTCCACTTATTAAGATCTTTCAAATGACATCAAGGTCAATGACCTTGTGACCTTGACCTATATGCTAAAAATAGATTTTACGAACTTTCGCCATAACTTTTGAACCATGAGAGATAGAGACTTCATATCTGGTGTGCATACTCCACTAAAAAATCTCTTTCAAATGAAGCCAAGGTCAATGACCTTGTGACCTTGACTTTGACTTTTCTGCTAACAATAGTTTTTTTTAACTTTGTTGCTGCCGGGCGCATAGTGTTTCACAAACACATCTTGTTCGTTGTTTTTTTTTTGTCAGCGAAACTCCTAAACCACTGCACAGATTTTCATCAAATTTTGCAGATATTTAGGACACAGTGTGTATATTTGCATATTCACAGGAAATTCTGATACCTTTATTTTTTGCAGGAATTTCGGCACTTTTCAACTTAGATTTTGTGCTATACCTTGAATATAGAGATGAACGGTTTGGCAGCGCAACTCCTATTGAACCGCTGCGGAGAACTTGGTCGAACTTTACAGATATTAGTTACACAGTGATTAGATGTGCATAGTACCAGGAATATCCGATTCCATTATTTTTCTCGGAATTTCGGCACCTTTTAACTTAGATTTTGGGCCATATCTTGAATATAGAGATGAAAATTCTTCATATAAAATAACCACAGCATAATATAAAAGAGCACCATCTTCATATAAAATAAGCACAGCATAATATAAAATAACCACAGCATAATATAAAAGAGCACCATCTTCATATAAAATAAGCACAGCATAATATAAAATAACCACAGCATAATATAAAAGAGCACCATCTTCATGTAAAATAACCACAGCATAATATAAAAGAGCACCATCTTCATATAAAATAACCACAGCATAATATAAAATAACCACAGCATAATATAAAATAGCCACATAAGGCAGCTATGGCGTTCCATATAGATGTGCATATTTCTAGAAAATATTGTATAGGACGACAATAATTCAATTTGGCTTCAAGCAAAGCTTATGAAAATTGTTCTTCAATTGCAAATGTGAGCAACAAAAGTTTATAAATATTCTTTTTCTCTCTCCTTGAAATAGTTTATTACAATTTTGCAACAAAAATTTCCGACATCACAACTGCAGCTCATTTTGCTTTAACAGAAGTATAATAAATTTTCTTATATAATCCCTTTGGGAAGAAAAATAATTTTTCCAATTTCAAATGTTTAATTGTTTGGATTTTTTAAAGACGTTTAGAAATTGGTTTAGAAATCAGAATGTGATTAAAATTTTGAATATTTTCCTATACATGTATTTAGAAGATTTACAAAACAGATATTGAGGAACGTCTCACCTGACAAAATTTTACTACATAAATTTTAAAGCAACAGCATTAAAGTCTTGGTCGAATCATGTTATTTCGAGTAATTTTCAAAGTGTATAAGATATTCAAGGACATCTTGTGCCAAAGTAGATTTTCCCAGAGCTTCATGTCCATGGGACCATAACGATTTTGAAATGGCAGCAATTCAAAGTATTCATTAATTATGTTCCTATACAAAAAAGAAATCAAGAGAACTCGTGTTTTAGTACCTTTCTATGCATGATAAGCCTGAAAGATTTAAGAACAATATGAAGATCGAGAGCTGAAAAGGCTTAGTCGAATGGTATGTAAATTATTGAATAAAGTTAGTTCTACATTTTGTCCGAATCCCCAATGACAGATTTAATGTTTTCGTACCTTCTTGAATCCGTGCGGCGAAACGGGTTAAAATGCGATTTGACCTAAAAGTTGAAAAGCTTCTTCGAAACGATTTTTCTTGCGTCATTGTACGAGTAGAGTGGCGTATCAGAGACCCTTGGCTAACGAAGATGGCACTATTTAAAATAACTCATTTTTTCGAACATAATGGTACTATACCCGAGATTCATCGCCTGGACACGCTAAAAAGATTATATATACGGCAGGAGAATTTTAAAACTGTTAAAAGAATACGTGAATATATGAAGAGCGCCATATAAGATTATTTTGCTTAAGAAGCAATCCTTCAGAAAACTCCGGATACGGTTTAGACTACTGATTTGGGGGGAGGGGTCAAGTGTTCTGTGGCTTTGTCAACATTATCTCGTTCCGGCGATACAGTGAGCGTCTAGGAGAGGTTTCCAGATTTGGAGAGTCTATTGACGTTTTCTGCTACTCCCACTCTGGGCCATTAGGTTCAGTTGAACACCTGCTTCCCCTGGGATCTTCCGGTTATTGGAGATTACGCATGAATATTTGTTATTTTTATTTTACTTTGGATTTTCTTTTTTTTTTAAAGATTTTTTTTCCTTTTTACTATATACAATATTTACAGGTCATTTTTGAATAACAAAACTCAATTTTACTCATAAAATATCTTGGACTTTTAAAAATTATATTTAAAAATTTCAAATTTACAGTGAGGCAACTAGTTCAGTCAGTGGTTATACCATAATGCATTAAAAATTTTCAAAGCCTGAAAAATAATTTAAACGATTAGGATTGACCTTGGTGTCTTTTGTAAGAACTTTTTTAGTGGAGTATACATACCAAATATAAAGACTCTACCTCTCAAGGTTAAAAAGTTATGGCGAAGGTTAAAGTTGACAACAAAGATAGACAGTAGACAAACAGACAAGACAAAAATATAAGCATTGCATAAAAAAAATTTAGAGTGGGACCATTAGTTCGGTCAGTGATTAAACCGTAATGCCTGAAAAATTTTCAAAACCTGAAAAATAGCTTAAACGGTTCTAAATCTCTCACATGTGTTGAATATACTTATGTCATAGACCGGAACCCCCCATAGTATAAGCCCCCCACACACACACTTTCAATTAGCTACTCCACTTTCAATTTGCTTCTGACGCCCATGTATGTGACTCCTCCATGGTACCTGATCCAACCTGTGATGTTTTAGAGGCCTTTTTTGCGCTGATCTCGATTTGCAATGTTTCAAAGAAATTTTGAGTTTGTTTGCTGATTATTGTTTCCGAATCCATGACTGAGGATTTATTAAATGCTTATATTCATGTACATAATGTATGCGTCATATTATTTATTTCTTTTTTCATATTTTAACCTGCTACTTGAAAACTTGTCATAACCTCCCACCCCCTTCCCACCACTTTGAAAAAAGAAACGACGCTACGTGTCTATAAAGCATTGGAGTCGGAAACAAATTGAAAGTGGAGGGGGGGGGGGGGGGTTCTAAGTGAAAGTATAACAAAAAATTCTTTATTTCTATCTACCAAAAAAAATGAAACTGTGTCCATCAAAAACGAAAATCCTATATCGTGTATGTGTGTGTGTATGGGGGGGGGGGGGCAAACCTACGCCCAAATGTTCAATGCCTACATGATGCCTATCTTTGCAAAAAAAAAAAAAAAAAAAGCGGGGGGCTAAGCCCCCCCCCCCCCCCCCCCCCCCACGCCTATGTAGAGTAATAAATAAATGCCTATATAAATGTAAATTATAAGCAAATATGGAATAATAACTGCAAAACTAGGTATGCATTTGGGGTGGAGTAGGCGTTATGATAATTGTTTGTTTTTGTTGTTTTTTTCCTTAAGTTGACGATTTTCCCACCAATTCCTTTCAAATTCACGGTTTCTGCTTTAAAAAAAACTCTGTTTAAATGCTATTTCCGAAAAATCCTTTAAACAGAAATAGGATTTTTTTCTTGCTAAAAGTAAATATATATGTTTCACTAGTAGGTGCACAAAGATGGATATAAGTCTTTTGGAATATTATCAGATTTCAGTACCAATTTAGCATCATGCAGTGAGGATTTTTTGTTTGACTTTCCAGTTTTCTGTGCAGCATGACCTACATGTCAGTATATGTATCAAATCATCATTTCAACAGGCTTTTACATGAATCTGAAACACAAATATAAATTACTTAAGAATATTTTAATTTTGAAAGATTATAAAAAAAAATTGTCAATCTCTATGCAAATTAAACCAGTTTTGGTTAATTTTATTCTTTGTCAAATATTTTTTCTGTGTTGTTTCAATATGCCATGTAATAAAAAGTTGTTCGATTATGCCAAAAATGATTCATTTCCACCCACAACCGAAATTCTACCTTTCATTGATAAATAATTTGGCCAAGCTTTGATTGGCGTCATGTTCTTACGAGACACTCCTTATTTGGAACATAGAAGGCGGGGCTTTTTCCATCGTCCCGTATGAGGATAAGAGTTTATAGAGGTATCCTTTGAAAGGAAAGAAAGTATAGGAAGTTTTTTTTTCTTTACACTGAAATCTAACATTTCATTTAAATCAATTTCTTTCTTTCAAGGGCCACAACGTTTGCTTTTTCAGGAATACATCGATGACGTCAATGAAAAAATGTGATGTATGAATATACGCTTCGAGTAAAAGTAGTTCACAGGTAAGTCTCTTCGATTTTATTTAGTTTTGTTACCTCATTCAGTTAATTCATTTTTTATTTTCAAATATATTCTTTATATAATTTCATTTTATCAAAAATTGATTTTTGTGATCATATAAGCTGTAATTTCTTATTGTTTGCATTCTCTTTTTACAGCACTATTTTGTCCCGCGCAATATAATTTTCGTGTGTATTATTGTAAACAGGCTCGTAGCTAAATTTTTCGTTCAACTCGTAATGGTGTCCTCCATTCCTGGAAAGTTCTAAGGAAAAGTTCAAGATTTCGCCACATTTTTCGCCTATGATAGGATCTATGAGCAGCCCAAAATTCTTCTGACCTTTCGTTTGAGCCTGTGTTGATATTTTTGGATTGTCAAAATGTCGCAGGACATGCAAGAACGACAAGGTACACAGGTAGTGCATGTGAGGGAAAATAGTGGAAACGAACTTGATGCATTGTTTCAGTTTGCAGCTAATCCAAACCCCGAATTAGGGGGACAAATTCCCTTCCGTAAAAGGAATTTACCTCCATCCTTTTTCAATGAACCAAAGCCGTCACAACCTGGCCATGTGAAGCAAGGTAGCAATGACTCGACAGGTTTTCCTGGACAAATGAACCCCGCCATGGGGGCCCATATGAGGGCACACTCCTCACCCGCTACCTTACAACAATCCCTCTCGGCGGCCCCTCAACCCCCCAGTCACGCCCGACAGCGTTCCTGTGATGCGTTGTTGGACCCAATAGATAGCGAACCCCTGCCCCCAGGGTGGGAAATGGCAAAAACTCAAGATGGACAAAGATATTATTTAAAGTAAGTAATTTTTTTTTAAAAATAAATACACAAAATTTAAGTTCAGTAATATTTTTAAATGACATTTAACTACAGATTTTTTTTTAATTTTTTAATATATTCAATATAATTCATTTATATATATATATATATATTCATTGTATATATATATATATACTATAATTTAAACAACATCATTTCGGCATGATGAAGCGTGATTACTGATTAGCACTGATGCGTCAGATGTATACAGAAAGCAAAAATGTTTGTCATCAAAGGTAAAACACAGGTTCAAGAATTCAATATTACAAATCTATCATCAGTTTGGCCTTGGAAAAGGCAGTGACATGCGTAAATAGTGACTCAAAAAATTGTCAGAAGATCAGAGAATAAAATTAATGAAAAGTGATTCCTACACATCACATCTAAAACAGCTCGAAACATTCACATAGATCCAAATTCTGGTCTGGTCCGTCACATTTTTATCCTCCCCTAATTTACATTTGGTACCAAGACATTCCTTAGAAGTGAAAGGTGAAAAATAATAAGGAATGAGCTTGGGTCGGGGGGAGGAGTGGAAGACTTTAAAGGAGGGAGGAATGTAGAAGACTTTAAAGGAGGGAGGAATGCAGTGGCCAGATAGCTCAGTTGGTAGAGAACCTGGCCTGATTCAGGGGTTAGGGGTTTGAATGCCTGTCTCCTCTCTCCTGCTTCATTTGGGCACATCTTCATGACTTAAATATTACTACCATTGGCTATTTGTTTTTTATACATTGAATTCTTCATTGGAAAATGATAGATATTGTTGTTACTAAAAATTTATTTTTTATTCATTTGATTTAATGATATTTATTGCAGTATTTTTTGCAAAGACTGAATCATTTCTGTGTGTTAAGTATTTCTCTGTTTTGTTTCCCTATGTAGTCCTGTTGACAAAAGTATTTATACGTAAGTATAGTAATACTAGTATGCGGTATTGATAATCGTAGACAGAATTTATATTATAATGTGGTCAAAAATATATAATATAGCATTTTGAACAAAAACTACCAGATTTTTGATATGTTAAAAACTGGACTGCACATATACTAGATTTATTGAGTAAAATGTGCTTCATTGATGATTACAAATATATTATTATAAATCACACCTAAGCTTTCTAAAGGAGGAATTCATTTTTTTTTTTTTTACTCATATACTGTGTAAGAGCATTTTATGGTAAATTATATGCAAAGATATTCAGACTTATTATAAACAGATTTGTTACATCAGAGATTTAGAAGAGCAAATTCCATATCTTTTTATGTGCACGTGAAATGGGACTATATCTGTAATTTTTTGTTAAACTAGATTACTATAAAATGAATTATTGCATGTGATTGACCCAAATATCACACAGAGATCTAGAATACACAGTTAAACCCATTAGACTATTACTAAGAGTGACAAGTGTAAGTGCATGGTACCTCATATTTAAGTGTGGAACATGCCAATATTAAAAGTTGTGTACTTGGTAATGAAAGTCCAGAGCTTTCACACCATTTTTTTGGGACTTGAGGGCCAGGGCTATTAAAATTTGGAAATTAGTGACCTTCTTGAAATTTGAACATTGAATTGTTCTGTGTGGCACAGATTAAAGGAAAAAAATCGTACATCTCACTTATTTTATTAATTAAAATTTGAATTCTTTATATTTTAATCAGAATGAATTGTTATTAATACATATAGGTTTTAGAAATCTTAAATTATTTTACACAGACTGGGGATCTTATTTGACAGTCAGCTGCTAAATTTGGAGTTATAAAACATGACATTTGTTTTGACTAGTTTTATATTGGTGTATTAGCTTAAAAATAATGACTGTTTTCAAATAGGGAACATGCACTGTACCAAATTTCATCGTAATCACCGGCCATTATTTCCTAATATACTCTCTATAGCATGGTCACCACATTTCCTAGCTTGCGTTTCAAGTACATGTAAAGCCAACATTAAAATCGTGAAAATAAAATTCTAATTGTATGTATAGGGTTTGACTTTGAGCAAGTCCTGTACTGTACTTAGTGGCCCTAATTTCAGGTAGAGAGGTCCCATCTCCATGAACTGTCACAGTTAAGATATATGCACATGATGGATTTAAGTGGTCTCCCACGGAACAATCGCATATTATACATATTCAAAAACAGGTTTTATTTCTTTGATAATTCAGCATAGGCCATAAAAAGAGATCATGTTCAGATGATAACTAGGGCATTGGCCCCCCAACTGTTTGTTTTGATATATGACAATGATTTCTTGAACTCTTTCGTTTTTTCCTCAAGTGTTTGTTTTTGAACTGCTTAATTGCTAGGTTGGAAAATAACAATTTGATGATAAGCCTTGTCCGTTTGATCTGTTATAAGTTGTATGGAAGGTTATGACTTTCGTATGTAATGAAGTTTTAAATTTGATGGGGATTAACAGGGCATCTTTTGATCTTACAGTCATTATGGTTTTTATTAGGTCTTGTGAAGTAATTTTGCCTGTGCCTTAAGGCTGTTTGTTTTTTAAGATAAAGAAGGAGCTACAGATTACGAGATGTGTAGTGTTATTAAAAAAAGCACCTTAGGTAACCATTGGATTACATTACATGTGTAGCTTTCCCTTGGTTCAGGTGTGCTTTTTTTTCATGTTTAAGCCAAACACAAGGTACATATGCATGAGTTATTTTCACAGCATCCTCCGTACCTTGTAACAGCATGGTGTATATTTACACATCATTAATGCAGAATGATAGTGACATAAAGATTCAGTGTATACAATATTTATATAGATAGACCCCCATGTGACACAAAAGATCATGTGATAAACATTGGTTATCATGTTTCCTGTACATAATACACCTGAAGAAATTCAATACAACCCATAGTAAGGTGTGCTATATTGCACAGTTTTGTTAGTTGTGTAAACATCACTAAGGTTCACAGTGAAGATTTGGTCAAATATTACCTTTGACTTTTTGACCAACAACTAACCCACTCTGTTTAAACAAGTGGTCACAGTGACCAAATGACAATGATAGCATTTAAAAACAAAACAAGATGCATATTTTTCGTCTTAAAGGAATAATAGGTTGCGTACATGTTGTAATTACAAGTTTCTTGGATGCTGCGAATCGCAGAAAACAAGATAATCCTAGTAATCTACGAACTCATTAGTGTGTAAGACATTAGTTTGAGCTGGATGGAGATTTCTAGTATTTTTTATGGGGGTTAACCACCCATAGTTGCATTATGATATCAGTTTTTTCTTTAGTGTGCATTATGAGAAGTAAGTTTGCTTCAGAGCACCTGCTGTACTGCTAATGTTTGGAGGATGCTAAATGATCATCTCCCAGTTAGCAGTACCAGAACCTGTTTAGGTCATGTGATCTGGGAGATAAGAGCCGGGATCCCTGGGTAACAGCAGGAGATACACATTGTAATAAGACTTGTGTATTGGGTGATCCTCCAGGGATACCCACTGACCTACATGTGAGAAGTAGCCAGAATTAGAGGAGGGTCATTAATTATTCTGTGTAATTTTATCCAGCTGATTTAATTTAGAATTATACATGCATTTATATATAGCACAAAAAAAAATGTAAGGGAGGAAAAAAGGGGTTAAGTTGTAACCACTGCAATTATGATTTTTCTGACAACAGACCTGTCTGAAAATTTGTATTACAACTGGTAAATACAAGAGGAGAATTCTTAGATCGGTACTAATATTTGAGAACTTTTTTTTCTTCAGTTTTTGTAGTCATATCCCCTACAACTTTTATGTTTCTTACTTTGATTCAGAATTAATAACTCCATATTTTAGCTTGACAAAAATTTGGAGAAGAAGCAGTCACTCTGCTTAGTAAACTGTGTCAGTTTTGTTATTGTTGTAACAATCTTGACTCTTGGTGTATCCTTTTGTTTGTGTCTGGGTAAGATGAGGGAAGTTTTGGCAGATGTGCGAGAGAGTGCACTTCTGCAGCCAGACCTGGACTGAGTCCAAGGCACACAGCTGAGGGAATCACTGCAGAGCTGGAAGGTGTAGATCTTTGTGTTTATTATACCACTAGAAGTATTTCAAATCAAGTAAATAAATGTTAACTTTGGAGTTTGTAAACACAGTAATTACGGATTGAGATGGATGGCAGTTGAGTAATCCTGGGGGGTAGCTCCTGGTGTCTGATTAAGGAGATACATCACTTTAGTGTTTTTTGACATTGTAGGCTGTAGCTGGTTCTTTCAATGATAATTATTGGTTACACCTTAATTTTTAAAGAAAGTATTAAATGAACTTGTGGTTGAGGATTTTAATGATCTGAGGAACATATGATTTTTAAAAATCACCTTTTGTTTAGAAACTGCATTGTAGTTTGTTGTTGTTGTGAGATTTTAAGAGAGGGGTCTTGATGATGGAAATAGCATCATTCCCTGCCCACTCCCTTTCACCAACTTTTTTTGGGGGGAGGGGGGTACACTGATATCACATGTCAAAATATATCTAACTTTAGTTTTCTTGTATCCACTGTGTATTTTTTCAGCATAAAATCATATCAGGTTTTTTCAGGTTTATTTTAGAAAGTCTCATCTCATCTACATATAAAATCAGTATACTCTCACAGACAGTGGGGGTAAAAAAATGACAGATCTAATGTTAACATGAACATTATAAACTCAGCTATGTCTTTATGGGTAAATAGACCATTTATGGATTTTGCAAATATTACAGTTACTATGCAAATGGTTCATTTCTTGAGAACTAAAAGGTTAATGCCCGTAGAAGGGAGGTCCCTTTGTTCTGGGTATAGGGGCTTTTAGAACTCTTCTATGTATCTTGTTTAATGGGGGTAATTTGAAAGATGATAAGGAGAGAAAGAGTTGTGTTCCTCGTAGACTCATGTGACCGTGGGATTTTGGGTTATACTCTGTAAAGTTTTAGAGGGACTGTGTAATTTCTTAGCTGCGTCAATCATTGAGGCTTTGTCTGAAGCCACCCAGGGCTTTTTGTTCCAACACACAAAAAGCTCACAAAATATGGATTGTGTATTATTTGTTTAAAAAGTGTGCAGTTGAAAGATTTTGTATAGAGGCAACTTGTTATGGGGGAAAAATGTGATAATCAGATTGAGATCAAAATTTGAATTATGGTACACTACGTATGTAAGATTTCTTAAGTTCTTTTTCTGAGTTTTGATTTTATTTGAATCACGTTCATTTTAACACAAATAATAATGGTTATAAGTTCAGTTAAAAAATCTTCTGATACATATTAGTAATATGGTCAGTGTAGATCATTTCCATTGGATTGAACACCTTTCCTGTGTGGGTTCTTTTTAGAAAAAAAATGTTGTCCTTATCAAATATTTGCAAGTGCATGCAGTTTTCGTTAATCTAATGTTCTGGGCCATGTGTATACATATTTCAAATACTTCAGATCTATTTTAAAGCACCTAAACAATTTTGATGAGTGAGGCTAAACTAATTACTGTGGTATTTTAAAAGTGGCTGATAGAATATATAGCCTTTTCTCGATTCCCATTTTTACATGCAAATGGATTTATTTTTGCAGCAAGTTATAAAATAAAAGGTTACTCTGTTAATTCACATAAAAAAAATCGGGTAAGATTTCAATAATCTGTGTTTCTGTATAATAACCTATCTATCACCCCAAGGATTGACAAACCAGCTAGGTCTATTTGTAGATACAACCTCAGCAGGCTCCTACAATTGTTCCTTGTAAACAAGGATTAAATGCAGAGTCACAGAAGCCTGCACCAGACTACCCCACCACAAGGAGATAGATTAGGTTGGGAGTCTACGTGGGGCTTCTGATTACCTGTTGTAACACAGAGAACCCCTCAGTGGCCAAAGATATATTTTCATTTTGAAGATTATGGTTCTTTAAGTTTTATGTTGTCTTCTCATAAACTGTCATACATTTTCAAACTTGTTTGCCGAATGCAGTTTAAGATAGTGTACATCCTGTATTAAGCAAAGTGATTTTCGTTACCTGTGCAAAAAAGTCGACAGGTGTGTGTGTGGCAATTGGAATGTAGGAATTTAGTAGAATTACCAAATACGGATATGTATGAATCAGAAAGGAATGTAGTAAAAATGCCATGAGCCAAAAAATATGTGCATAAAGAGTACATATTGCAGGAATTGATTCACTTTGTTAGTTTCTATATGCATTAATGATATAGCAATACAGTTAGATGCAATGTTTCCAGCTCAAAAACAAACACTAAAATTGAACTCTTAAAATCTGCCATGATGATTTTAGTTCTCAGTTTACTCCAGGTGCCGTAAAAAACCCATTGATAGCAAACAGTGTGGGAGGCCAGAAATCAGCAAACTGTACAGATTAAATGGCTAACAAAACGAGGGAACCAACCCTGAATATAGTCTGAAAGTCAGCTAGGTGTACACATGTTTGTGAAATTGTCTGGAGTTTTAAATTTGGTTTATAGCTCTTGTACTGGTCATAATCTGGTATTGTGTGGCTGTCAGAGAGGGCTAATTTTAGCCTGGGGAGTGTTTGTACACTTGACACACTTGCAGATTACTGACACATTTGACTTTTTGTGTCAATAACTGTAGGTAACGAAAAAAGCATGAACACTACAAGGTATAAATAAAAAGATTAAATTGACAAAGCTGTATGCCTAATTCAAGGGATTTAGTAAATTATCTATCCAAATATTATTTCAAATGTACTGACTGGAGTGAATTTATTTCATTTAAGAATTAAATAACAATTCAGCATTAATTATTTATGTTGCCCATGGTTCAGAGTTCCTTCAAGTGCTTGAACCAGATAAAAGAATACCTGCTTATAAGATTAAGGAGAAATTCCTTTTAATTTCTGTGACAGTTGATGATTGAGATTACTCACTGGAGTGGTATTTTAAACTTCAGATCATGCTCTGAATTACTTTATTTAGGAAGCAACACTGATAACTACTACAGATGCATGGGAAAATGTGGAGTTTTGTAACTCCACCCTCAGTTGTATAAATTGCTCATTCTTGTCTGCAGATCCGAGATATAGCTTTTGATCAAGTTCTTTTAGATATATATGTTATAAGTGTATTACATTGGAAAGATGTGTCATCTGCATGGTTTTAAGGCAGTGCCTCATCTATTGTGGTAGAACATCGATGTATCTGTTTAGGTGCATTGCTGTAGAAATAACATGTTTAAATAATCATGAATGAAAATAAAGCAAGTGATGTGAGGAGAGTGGGTCATGTGCTAGCTGACAGGGCAGCAGAGCCAGTCACTTTCACGCACTCGTCTGGCTTCAATATTCTGCTCCTGTCATCTGCATCCTAATTGCAGAAGTTATGAATGAATCATGCATTGCCAGTCGAACTCCTGCAGTGATACTGCCCTCATGTAGACTTTGTTTTGGCGGCCCTGCAAGAAAAATGACTGGTCAAAGATGAATGAGCTACATGTGCTCAGCCTAGGTGCTGCACTGGGTAGAAGTTGGGAGGTGGAAAGATTCAGTGAAGCATGACCTGGCAGTAAAAGATCTGTCTGCTTTCTGATTCATTCAGTTCTCTTTGGCACCTGTGACCTACTTCACACTAAACACACTCAATCTGATGTGGGGTTTTTTCCCTTGATTTTGATGTATTGAGGTTAATGTTAGTGATAAAATGCCAGGTCTTTGAAATTGAATTGTCATGATTGTGAACTTGGTTTATATTATTATGTAAACTTAGCTATATTTAATACTCTCTCATTTAAAATCTATTTAATAATCAGGATATGATGATCGAGGATTACATCATATAAAATGTACCTAAAAAAATTTTTTAAAATTGTAATTCAATATCTATGTAGATTATTATACATACAACACATTAAAAATTGTGCTGTGGATTAAAGTTTATTTTGATATTGAGTGCACTTAATGGATTTAGTTATATTCAAGAATTTAGTTCATGACTGATATAAAACATGTATATATTTACACACATGATTATTTATCATCATTCATAGAAAACATTTGCATTCACAAATGTTTGACAAAAGTCATGAGCCATGTGGTCACATCAGCAAGAAAAAAAGTCATATGATCAAATCAAATGAATATATTGAGACACCGTTTTGAATAAGACACATTTTTATTTTGTAGTCACTTAACCCAGATCACCACCTGGCAAGACCCCAGGAAAACAGGCAGCTCTAATGCTCTAAACAGTCGAACCCCGCCCCCCAACTCTCAGTCTCCCAATGTATCACTCCAGAACCTGGGGCCCTTACCACCAGGGTGGGAGCAGGCTAACACCGCAGAGGGGGACATTTACTTCATCAACCACATAGAACGTATCACAAGCTGGTACGACCCACGCATACGTAAGTAGTAACACTTTCCTTCTTTTGTGTTCATTTTAGTGAAAATAATGGATGTGGATATAATGTAAATAAAACTCTGTTTGCAGTTCATGATTTTAAAAACAAAATTCAGAATCAAATTGATTTGAATTTTTAATGCACCCATGTTTATAAACTAAATTTTTATTTAACTGAATACATGTATGTTAAAAACAAGTTTTGTGTTTACTTGATAAATTTCATACTGTTAAGATAAAATTTGTTGGATTTATGGGTTTTGGTTCACAATACTGAACATTATTTTTTAACTGTAAATTAAAAATTGACTTCTTTTTTTGAAAGGGCCAATTGGCCATCATGTTTAAAATCATGTATGAATTATAAGAATATCTATTGCATATTGATGTTTACCACAGCAAATGCAATTTTTTCAAACATACATTACTCTGTTCTTGTGTATTTTGTAGCTGAACAACTGCAGCAGTTAAGACTCAGTGGTTCACAACCACAGCTGCAGAGACAAATGCAGTCCCCGAGACAAATGGGGCAAACACAACCCCCCCCAATCAGTCGTCCAGTGGGTGCCAAATCCCCTGCCTCAGTTCAGTTTTCAAAAATTCAAATGGAAAAAGAATTACTGCGCAAAAGGCAGGAAGACCTACAGCGTCAGGTAAAAGGAAAATTGCAAAATTTCTCCCAAGTTTTTATATCAAATTCAGAGTACTGTGTTTTTTTGATTAACAGTTCAATCCACACTTTTCAAAAGTTGTGTCCATTTGCGGGCTCAACCAAAAGGTCAAAAGGCAAAGCAATGACATTTCTCCTCTTTATGCTACCAAACATTTGGGCGTGCACTGTGTTTAAAAAAATTTCTTTCTGTATATGGTTAGTCCCAGCTTCAATGGGGCAATCAGTATACAAGATGCAAGAATTTTTCTAGCCAGATGACAAAATTATAAACCAGAAAACTATAAAGGCTATTGTGAGGATATTATGGGTCTTTCCCCAAAGATGGCGGCCAAGGGACATAACTTTTTGAAAAGTGTAGATTTAACTATTCTGAAGGTAGTTTTTGCCTTCCATACCAAGATATAGGGACACCTGGTGTGTCCACATGCTTTAAGTCTTGGCCATAACTTTTGATCAAATAATATCATTGAGTCAGAAACTTCATATACAGTCAATGCAAAATGTTAACAGGAAATGATGCTGAAAGCGCAGATGCAGCAACAACAGGTTTATGAAAATCCACCTAATTCTCAAGGCATTGTGATATCTCAAGCTCTGGAAATGACAACAGTAACAGACCCCTTCCTTGGTCAGTCCAATGTGACGGCTAACCACATCAAGCAGGAAAGCTCAGACAGTGGCGTTGGTAAGTCAGACAGTCCCTGGTTGTGCTGTGGTTTTGGAAGGTCGAGTCAATTATTTTCTTCGTTTCTTCACCAGTTAACACACTGCAGACTTGTACCCTCTCTGTAATAGTGCTGTAACATTGTGACTTTTATTTTTCTGTGGCCACAAGGTGTAGGTTTGTGTAATCATTTACTAAAAAAATAAAATATGCAGTGCATTAGTCACTTCATTAACAGAAGATTTATGAAATTGCGTTTTCAAGAAGTTAACCTAGAAAAAAAAGACACTTTATTTTCGTTATCAACAATCACATGATAGATTGCTTCACCTTATTTAACATATCTGTATTATAAGAAGTGCATATTCTAGAAATGAAATGAAATTAAAAAATAAAAAAAAAAATACTTATGCTTCAAAATTTTTGCTTATATGTTTAAAAGTAACAGACAAATTTAAAATTTTTCGAATTTTAAGAAGTAACTACATATAAATGTCATTATATCCTGACTCCTGAGATTGTTTAACCAATTAACATATGCTAAGAGAGTATTTTCTGTTTTAACTTAAGGAGGTATGGGTACGGGAACTCCATACAGTCTATCTCGAACTCCTGAAGATTTCCTTAGTAACGTCAGCGAAATGGAGCAAGATGGAGGTAATTTGTCCCCCTTCAAATCTCTCCTTCTCTTATCAAAAAGTCAGGGGGGGATCATGCGATGATTTTCAGTAGGGAATATTCTTCAAGGAATATTTGAATAGGAGTTGTCAGCCATGATTTGAACAAAAAGCCTAGCTGTTACACGTACATGTAGGTGCAGAGTGAGCTGTTCATACATTTATACAATTGTGGGTTAGGAGGGATATATTCCTTTGTTATATTTTGTTTTATTGAATGCTGATAAACAGTTCTGCAGTGTCTTTAAAGGACAAAAAATCTGATTCTTTTGAGTAAATGAATTGAAGACAACGAAATCTTTTTTTTATATAAAAAAATTCAAGTTCATATGATGCTGTCCTAAAATTTATTACACAATATCATAAATTTATTGTTTTATTTTTGTGTTTATTCACTGTTGTGATTATTAGTCTTCAATTCATATAGCTTTCTGGATGTACAGTCTTGCAGTTTAATACAAGCTTTGAAAATAAAAAAAAAAATCATAAAGGTCCACTGTTTTTGTGTTAATCTTCATTGTGTAAAATATATTGTAACGCTTACTTTGTGTAGTCTCTGTATTCACTCGACCAACCATTACCAATATATAATGTGCCTAACAGTGTATCATATACTCACCAATTTTATGTTACATGTCTATGAAGAATTCTATCAGTTCCCTTGGGAAGTGTATTCTATGGTTATTCTTTATCAGAGACAGTGGTTAGGACTACATGTATTGTTTTGGTCTCGTTATGAACATCCTTTTCTTCTCTTATTGCTGAAAACAGGAAAATATTCATTTCAGTATTATTTTTGCCCTAATTTCTCAGTAGGTGAATTCAAACCAGATTGGAATGCAATAGACAGAGTTATCTCTCTTTTGATACAGGAGTGTTCGGGCAGATTTGAATTGGCTGTGTCATTGAGCAAATATAACCCTGTTTACAGTTTTTACTTAGAAGAAGGCTTACTGTTTGTTTATGTTGACTACATAAAATATTTTCATTTATCAGATTGTTTGCCAAAAGCCATTATATAATGTACATACTCAAGTTCAAGGTTGGTTTTGTAGGAGGACACAGACACAGTGAATTCAATAATATGGACATTGGAAACATTGGAGGAAATGAGGAAAACAGCAACATGGATAGCGAGGATCTGGTCCCAAGTCTGCAGGTCAGTTTGCCCCCCCCCCACACACACACATCCCATTGTCAGCCACTCCACCCCATATGATGATTTGTTTACATGAATGAATTAATTTGTATGTTTAATGTATTTCATAGAAAAAATACAGTAAAACTCGGTTATAACGAAGTCACTGGGACCTGAAAAATTACTTTGCTATATCCGTAATTCGTTATAACCGTATAAGAAAGTCATTAAATTTATATAGCTGGGGATCCAAGATGACTTCGCTATATCCGTAAATTCGCATTATCCGTGTCCGTACTAAATGAGTTTTGCTGTAATTGCTAAATTTTAATGGATCATTTCACTACAGTTGATTTATAATACTTCTTAAATTTTGCTAAGGGAATCCAGCTAGTCATTTAAAGACCCATGCGCATGAGGGTACACTAGTATCTTGAATCTCTACTTAATATTATTTATGTTCTAAACTTTACGCAAAGTTAAGAAGTCTGATCATAACAATTGTTTTTATTTATATTTTGCAGGAAGACATCAGTAATGAACTTTTAAATGACATGGAAAGTGTGTTGAATGTCAATAAACTGGATAATATTCTCAGTGGGGACAATTCACTCACTTGGCTGTGAAATCGAAACAAACTTCATATTCCATGTTGCATCTCCTCTGTCACATGACACAAGGTCATGTGACCACCAGTAGCAGAGTAAGAGGGATCTTATGTACTGCCAAACCTTATGTTGCACAGTTTAGTGAGAAAGTTATTTTTCAAATAGATTTTTTTAGAATATCAGGGAAAATGAGAAAGAGAAATAAAAAGTTCTATTTTGTACTCACTCATCATCATCATAATTGTTCATTATCATACATGTATTATCAATGTGTTCCATGCCCATGTTTTCCTATGCCAGTTTTGTATGAAATTATGGTTATCTTACAAAGGTTTTTTATCCCAATAATATAATACATGTACATATTATTCTGTGGAATCTTTTTAATTCATGGAGGGTCAAAGTTCATGAACAAGCGCCATTTTGCTGGTTTGTTGGTGCAAAATTTGTTAAAAAATTGTTTATGTAGAAGATTTAATAAATGTTTAAACATTTTGTTAATGGGGATGATTTATGAAAACTGATCCCCAATTAATAATGAGATTCCACAGTTATGGTAACATTTAAACGGGAGTTTATTCTTTTCCTTCCTCAAGAGTTTAAAAATCAGCATGAACAAAAAAATCAAAAAGATTACCAAAGAGTAGATGTTACTATGAATCAGAGGGCATGGCATATATGTAAATACAGTGGATTTTTTGTTTTCAATAATAACATTAAATATATATATTATGTCATTGTAACTTTGTTAAAAGCTGTTCAAATTTGTGTAAATTTTTTTGCCATGTAGTAGAAGATTGCATGAAAAAAAAAGTTATGGTCTATGCACCCTTTACTTAAAAAAAGAATTGATTAACCCATGTTTACTTAAGTCTACTGGGCTGCTTAGCTACAAATGTGATAAATATTTGTTGTAAAAAATTTTGGGTTCACCCTATGTACATGCTAATAACCTCGACTGTCTTTCTTTTTGAAGGGCTATTAAAGTTTATTTACATCAATACCATTATTTGGGAATGAAATTATGTTTTGTTTATTTGTCAGTATTTTTTTCATTCATATTTTTAAGTATGTTTTTTACATTTAGATTTTTATGAACCTTTTAGCTTAATAATTTAATATTTTGGTACATCCTGCCAAAAAGAAAATGTTACCATATTTGCAAAATAATGTTTGAACTTGTTTTATATATATTGTGATATCTTTTATGATGATCAATTTGAGAGATAATGGCAGCGATGATTGTAAAACTAATTGATATTATTTCCATTGTTCCACAGCTGAACAACTAAAGTAATTGTTCAGTAAGGCTATCTCAGAGTTTGAAATTATGAAAGATACAAGAAATGAATTTCATCTGCAAAAAATGTCTTTATGAATATTCGTCAATGAAATGTCCTTCTGAATATTCATCAGTGAAAGGTACAGAGATAATTTTCCTTTCTGCCGATATGATTGCCTTAATATGCATGTGATATTCGACTTATATTGTCCCTGTGATAGTCTTGCATAACAGTCTGCCCTCATCATATGACAACTTCATTTCGCACAATGTCATGAACACAGATTTTTATAAGAATCACTATGAATTGAGTGCTTTTGTTTTTTGAGGTTGTAAAAATCTTATTTTTATTCATAATGTCATGAATCTTTATTATGCAATAAGATTTCTGTGAACCTGTTAGCACATATTGTGGGACTTTTTATTCTGTTTTGGGTCTTTCAGAATAAATTAGGAGGGAAGAAGGTATATCCGGTGAGAAACAAATTTTAAAGAGTTCTGAAACTCAAATGGAAGATTAAGATTCCTGGTCCTGAATTGTGTTTCTGTTCAAGAATTTTTGGTTGATAACCTTTGTTGAGCCATCTATGTATGGAGAACCTAGGTTGAAAGGAATTTGTTGTTCAGCCCAGAATTTGGTTTGTGATGAGGGCCTTGTTCACAGAGTTTGTTCATAAGATGAGCATGTTAGATCTCTCATTGCCCAGTGTTCAGCATCAAGCTATTGTCATTTTATTGCCCATCTTTTCCTGTCGCTAATAAGGCTTCCTGACAATTAATAAGGGCCTTGTCTTTTAGGGTGACAAAATCTGTAATCTATGAATATACTTCCATGTTGTGTCTGTTGAACTGTTTTTGTCAAATTTTATTTTGGTACACACATTTTGATAAATACCATGTTCTTTGGACATCTTTTTTGTACAGGTATAAGGCAGAGCCATGAACATACATTCCAATGTCCTTATCATTTTTATGCTGGAAATTCACGCCTAAAATTACATTTTTTTTCTCAGGCTTGTTCGAAGAAAAAAGTTTTTTGTCAGGCCATCCTAAGAGTATTAAATCATTGTATCAAAGTTATTTTTTTCTATATTCAAAATGGTAGTCATGGGAAAAACTTCTGATGAATGATTTTGTATGTTAAAATGTGTGCAGATTTTTTTTATTGTTTGCACATTTTGTATATAATAAACATGCAATTCAAAGTGCTACAAGTATAAAGATAATTTATACTGTTATTTTTTCGGAAAATTGAATGAAATACAAGAAAGGCTTCACATTTGAGTTAACCTTTCCTTATAGAGCCTATTGATTATATAGTTATTTAGCATATTCTTTAATTATACAACTTCTTTCAATTTTAAAAAATATCATACTATATGTATAGTGAATCCTTATATAGAATGTAATTGTACATATGAAGATCTCAAGAAGCAAAGCAAAGTGTAACAGAGGTTTTATATTATGTATCTGGTGAGAATGAATTTGAATTCACTAAATGACCCAAAGAAAGGTCATTAACATTTGTAGATAAAAATATATGAAAAAAATTAATAAAAATTGTATAAAATGATATGTGATTCTCATTTTTTATACGCCCGTCTTAAGACGGGACGTATTATGTTATAGGCTTCGTGTCCGTCCGTCTGTCCGTCCGTCTGTCCGTCTGTTAGCTTTTTCGTGTCCGGATCATAACTTACATACTATAAGTCCTAGAGTTATCAAACTTTGTCAGCTGATACATCTTGGGTAGAAGGTGTGTCGCACACAAAAAGTAGGTCGCTCTGACCTTTAATAAAGATGTTATAGCCAAATATGGAAAAATCCTGTCCGGCTCATAACTAGAAAACTATGAGACCTAGAGCTTTCAAACTTGGCAAAAGTATACATCTAAAGTAGAAGGTTGGTCGCAGCTTATTTCAAGGTCACTGTGACCTTTAATTTAAGTGAATTTTTTAAAAAAAACTAAGTCTATTAAATTTCAAATTTCATAATCCTAAAAAATGTAAAAATATAGTTGTATCCTTATTAAAAAATGTTAAATTAAGTAAAAACTTATTTTTTCATTACTGGTATATACTTTACAGCAATCTGTAACAAATGTTTATGCTTTGAAAGGAATTCAGTTTGTCCCATGGGCATAATTATCAAGCACTGGTCAAGAAGAATTTTGATAGCAGAAACTTGCATGTCAAATTAGAGAGAAATTAATGAGTATATTGTCAGGAGCTTATCTCTTGGGAGTTGGGCAAAAAGAAATGGCCTCATAGTTGCTTGTGTTAATTAAGAGTTCTTGATGTCTAGTCCAGATAAAGATCTTTCAATTGGTGTAATGTAATTAAAACAAATTTATGTTTTAGTGTATGATTAAAACTAAATTAGTATTGTATAATATAATTAAAACTAATTATACATGTGTTCATTGAAAAAAAAAATTATATTTCAATTTTTATATATTTGCAACAAATTGCAGTCATGTCTCACTTACAATTTTATAGTCTGAAGAATTATTATAATTTATGTTTGATTTTTTTTATTAAACTGTAGCATTTCCATTATTTCATAAAATATGCAATAAACAATTTAAGTTTAAGTACACTGCAGATGGATATTTGTTATGCTCTAACACAACCAGTTTAGAATTATAATATGATGTATTTGTTATAATCAATCCATACACTGTAAGTCTCTTAGAGATGTATGATAAGAAATGGAAATTAGATCATTGAAATCTGTGTCAATCTGTTAATCAAGGCTACCTGATTTTCTTGCATCCTAACCAATTTATGATTATTGAACAATATTTGACGGGCGTATCATGCTGTGGCGGGGCACTTTATTTGTTTCTGTATAATTATCTCTTAAAGATAAAAACTAAGGAAGGCATGACTGTTAAGAAAGTAGAAGTGAGTAGATGCATTGTGAAAGAGTGCCTGTTACGTTTGAATTAGTATTGGAACATCTTGTATAAGTGTAACATTGAGATAGTGTAGGATGATCATGTAAGAGTGTCTTGTTACAAGATAGTGTAGGAGTTTCATTACAGAGTGTCTGGTAACATTGAGATAGTGTAGGATTGTCATGTCAAGAGTTTCTGGTAACATTGAGATAGTGTAGGAGTGTCATGTAAGAGTGTCTGGTAACATTTAGGAAGTGTAGGAGTTTCATGTTGGAGTATTTGGGAACATTGAGACAGTGTAGGATGATCATGTAAGAATGTCTGGTAACATTGAGATAGTGTAGGAATATGGTATAAGAGTGTCTGGTAACATGAAGATAGTGTAGGAGTGTCATGTCAGAGTGTCTGGTAACATTGAGACAGTGTAGGAGTGTCATGTCAGAGTGTCTGGTAACATTGAGATAGTGTAGGAGTTTCATGGAAGAGTGTCTGATAACATTGAAATAGTGTATGAGTGTCATGTCAGAGTGTCTGGTAACATTGAGATAGTGTAGGAGTTTGATATAAGAGTGTCTGGTAACATTGAGATAGTGTAGGAGTGTCATGTCAGAGTGTCTGGTAACATTGAAATAGTGTAGGAGTGTCATGTCAGAGTGTCTTGTAACATTGAGACAAAGTAGGAGATTCATGTAAGAGTGTATGGTAACATTGAGATTGTGTGGGAGTTTCATGGAAGAGTATCTGGTAACATTGAGATAGTGTAGAGTGTCATGTCAGGGTGTCTGGTAACATTGAGATAGTGAAGAAGTGTCATGTCAGAGTGTCTAGAAACATTGAGATGTGTAGGAGTTTCATGTCAAAATGTCTGGTTACATTGAGATAGTGTAGGAGTTTCCTGTAAGAGTGTCTGGTAACATTGAGAGTGTGTAGGAGTGTCATTTCAGAGTGTCTGGTAACGCTGAGATAGTGTAGGGGTTTGACGAATCAATTTCTGGTAACATTGAGATAGTCTAGGAGTTTCAAGTAAGTGTCTGGTAACATTGAGATAGTGTAGGAGTGTCATTTAAGAGTGTCTGGTAACATTGAGATAGTGTAGGAGTGTCATGTCAAAGTGTCTGGAAACATTGAGATAGTGTAGGAGATTCGTGTTAGAGTATCTGGTAACATTGAGATAGTGTAGGAGTTTCATGTCAGAGTGTCTGATATCATTGAAATAGTGTAGGAGTTTGATGTTAGAGTGTCTGATAACATTGAAATAGTGTATGAGTGTCATGTCAGAGTGTTTTGTAACATTGAGATAGTGTGGGAGTGTCATGTCAGAGTGTCTGGTATCATTGAAATAGTGTAGGAGTGTCATGTCAGAGTGTCTTGTAACATTGAGACAAAGTAGGAGATTCATGTCAGAGTGTCTGGTAACATTGAGATTGTGTGGGAGTTTCATGGAAGAGTATCTGGTAACATTGAGATAGTTTAGGGGTTATATAAGAGTGTCTGGTTACATTGAGATAGTGTAGGAGTTTTTTGTAAGAGTGTCTAGTAACATTGAGATAGTCAAGAAGTGTCATGTCAGAGTGTCTAGAAACATTGAGATAGTGTAGGAGTTTCATGTCAAAATGTCTGGTTACATTGAGATAGTGTAGGAGTTTCCTGTAAAATTGTCTGGTAACATTGAGAGTGTGTAGGAGTGTCATTTCAGAGTGTCTGGTAACGCTGAGATAGTGTAGGGGTTTGACGAATCAATTTCTGGTAACATTGAGATAGTCTAGGTGTTTCAAGTCAGTGTCTTGTAACATTGAGATAGTGTAGGAGTGTCATTTAAGAGTGTCTGGTAACATTGAGATAGTGTAGGAATATCGTATAAGAGTGTCTGATAACATTGAGATAGTGTAGGGGTTTCTTGTCATAGTGTCTGGTAATATTAAGATAGTGTAGGGGTTTCATATGAGAGTGTCTGGAAACATTGAGATAGTGTAGGAGATTCGTGTTAGAGTGTCTGGTAACATTGAGATAGTGTAGGAGTTTCATGTCAGAGTGTCTGATATCATTGAAATAGTGTAGGAGTTTGATGTTAGAGTGTCTGATAACATTGAGATAGTGTATGAGTGTCATGTCAGAGTGTTTTGTAACATTGAGATAGTGTGGGAGTGTCATGTCATGTCGGAGTGTCATGTCAGAGGGTCTATTAACACTGCGATAGTGTAAGGGTTGATGTTAGAGTGTCTGGAAACATTGAGATAGTGTAGGAGTGTCATCTAAGAATGTCTAGTAACATTGAGATAATCTAGGAGTTTCATGTTCTGGTAACATTGAGATAGTGTAGGAGTTTGATGTAAGCGTTTCTGGTTAGATTGCGATAGTGTATGAGTGTCATGTCAGAGTGTCTGGTAACATTGTGATAGTGTAGGAGTTTCATGTAAGAGTGTCTGGTAACATTGAGAAAGTGTAGGAGTTTCATGTAAGAGTGTTTGGTAACAGTGAGATAGTGTAAGAGTGTCATGTAAGAGTGTCTGGTAGCATGAAGGGACATTGAGATAGTGTATGAGTGTCATGTCAGAGTGTCTGATAACATTAAGATAGTGTAGGAGTGTCAGGTAAGAGTATCTGATAACATTGAGATAGTGTAGGAGTGTCATGTCAGAGTGTCTGGTAACACTGAGATAGTGTAAGGGTTGATGTAAGAGTGTTTGGAAACATTGAGATAGTGTAGGAGTGTCATCTAAGAATGTCTAGTAACATTGAGATAATTTAGGAGTTTCATGTCAGAGTGTCTGGTAGTCATGTAAGAGTGCCTGGTAACATTTAGGAAGTGTAAGAGTTTCATGTTAGAGTATTTGGGAACATTGACACAGTGTAGGATGATCATGTAAGAATGTCTGGTAACATTCAGATAGTGTAGGAATATGGTATAAGAGTGTCTGGTAAAATGAAGATAGTGTAGGAGTTTCATGTCAGAGTGTCTGGTAAAATGAAGATAGTGTAGGAGTTTCATGTCAGAGTGTCTGGTAAAATGAAGATAGTGTAGGAGTTTCATGTCAGAGTGTCTGGTAAAATGAAGATAGTGTAGGAGTTTCATGTCAGAGTGTCTGGTAACATTGAGATTGTGTTGGAGTGTCATTGAAGAGTGTCTGGTATCATTGAAATTGTGTTGGAGTGTCTTGTCAGAGTGTTTGGTAACATTGAGATAGTGTAGGAATGTCATGTCAGAGTGTCTGGTAACACAAAGATTGTGAAGGCGTTTGATGTAAGAGTGTCTGGTAACATTGAGATATTGTAGGAGTTTCATTACAGAGTGTCTGGTAACATTGAGATAGTGTCATGTAAGAATCCCCCCCCCCGCACTGAAAATGTCTTTCTTTGCCAGAGATCAATTGTTTTACAAAGATTAAAAGGCCTTTATGATTTTTACAAGTATATCTTATATAAATGCATATACCAACAAATATAACCCAAGATCCTACTAAAAGTCCCCTATTTTTTTCTGACTTATACAGTGCATGTGTTGACCCTCCGTCAAAAAATCAATTTGATCAGAAATATTTGCCTGCTAGGAAATGTCGGCATTAGATATATTGTATAAAAGGGAGTACTCTTTCTACCTATTTATTCTTTCCTTGTCCCCACTGTCTAAAAATTTCCGTCAATCCGTCAATTTGCGTTATTATTGTAATCTATCAAAGGGTTTAACAAATAAAGCATGCGAATAAAAGATATTAAAGATAATAAAACATGCACTATCGTTTATAAGCAGCTGCAGTTGGCAGTGAGCTTTTTGCAGTTACAGTGAGCACTTGGCAGTAAGCAGCTGGCTGTCGTATATGGAATTCCATAGTTGCTAAAATTTGTAATGTAGGATAAAATTCCTCAAACATAAAACGGATTTTAAAAGGTTATAACGAATGAAATTCTTTTAATCGAAATGGACAATAAGGACCTTTCGACAAAACTTGTCGTATTTGTTAAATAAAAAGATTTCAATTCGTTGTAAAAAATTTTAAAATTCTTTGAAACAAATTTTATTCAATATATGAAAAATAAAATTTGTTCAAACGAATTTAATATGTACATAAAGTTTACATGCGTTTATTGAAAAAAAAAGAATTTAAACTACGTGTTTTATTTATTTTCTCGTGGGATGCCGTCATTTGATTGGTCCCTTGTTTGTCCTGTGTATTAACAGAATTTAAAGTTATCGTTCTTGCATTGACTTCCATAAATGGAAATCGTCCAAATCTGTTTAAAGAGGTCATATGCAGGGAACTTATTTTGTCTTTTGAAATAAAAATATACATGCGAGTCTTGTTCATATATAAAACCACGAGTTAAAAATCTTTAGGAAGCTCTGAAAATCAATAAAACAGGCACAATGTGTGTGTTCAACAAGTAAATCTTAATTATGAAATTCTTAACCCCCTTTTCCTTCCTAACAAAAAAGGGGGGTCCAAGGAAGGTATCAGTATTGTAATTCCAATTTACTCAGTATTATGACAATTTATTATAAATATGCTAGAAATCTCTAGATTGATACCCATTATCAAAGGTATTCATATCGTAAACACCTGCAGTACATTTTGATTGAGTCTTTAACACTAATAAAAGATAACATAAAAAGTAGAAATGTGTTTTTGAAAATTTCCCTTAGGTAACCCCTCGCTTTAATGCATAAGTCAGCAGTTTTTTTTTACAGCCAATGCTTTTCAAGCTTCACACGTGGGTAGGTATAAAAGGTCTGTTTGCGGGTGAGTGCGTGCAATTCGAGACAGTACCGGTGGAAAGAAGTTCGAAATGCAGTGCCTATTAGTCTTCGCCGTATTACTTGTCGTCTTACAAGGTGAGATTTTATAACAATTTTTGCTCAAAACTACTTTCATTGCGGTATAAAATTTTACACACGGATTAAGAGGCAGAAAACATATTCGAACACGCACGTGTAATATGGTAACGTGTTTCTGTTAAAGTTTGCATTTAAAGAATATTTTGTTTCATCGTAGCGTATTTATTTCATTACCAGTGACGCTTTCAACACCGAGAAAGCCTGAAGATGAGCTACGCGGTATAGTTAGACAACTAGAGGATTTGGTAGCCAGAGGACGGAATGGAAAACCCCGCCCTACACCTGTCACCGAGGACAAGAACCCCTCCGGACCACGTGGACCTACTGATAAAGACGGCGATTCGTCCTCCAGGAAATATGACAGGATGATCAAAATGTTTTATAGACTTCTAAAACCATACTTCGGAACCTTTCCAAGCGGGAATTATACATGTAAGTAAACAGCTAAATAACAATATGAATGTTGTTTTCCACATCTTTGACAGCATTGGTTTATGTAAATTTTCATTTTAGCGGATGTAACGGTTGACAAAATTGTGGAAATGATGAACGAATGGTACAAGAAAATGCCCTGGGATAAACCCATTCCAATGACATTCAGAAAACGGGCTTTCTTCAACATGGCTAGAATTCTATTGCGCGCCCATTTCCAATGCGCAACGGCAAAGATCAATCAAATAATATTTTGTAAGTGTTATTTAAATCGGTAATGTATTTGGTAAAACAACATATTGTTTCCTTCCTCGAATTCATTGCTAAAATGATATTTCCAAAATTTAAAGCTATTGAATGTTTCACAGTAACTCTTTGAAAGAAAAGATAAGTTTATTCTTTTCCTTTCATCAAAACAGACGTTTTGAAGTCCCAAGAGCGTGCAATGACTTTGAACGACAAGAGTATGTTTCAAAATGTCAGAACGATCCTGGAAAGTTGGATAACCAGCACGAGGAGGCTTGACCGAACCAGCAGAAGGATTGTGGGAGCGGCCCACGGGCATGTCTTTGGAGAAATTATGGGTCACATCAAATACTTCCAGTTTAAAGGTACAGTACTCTAAAGTGAAAAAAAATAAGGTTTTATGTAAATGAGGAAATCAAACTAAGATACCCATTTAAAATTGTATAAGAATAAGTACAGCGTATTCAAAATGTATCGCAAATGTACAACATGCAGATAATTTGATATTTCAATGTCATTACCAGTAATGTTTAGGATTTTCATACAATTTCAGATATCATGGAATTTTTCGGAAAAGTAAAACCCTTCCTCAGAAGAGCTATAAGTGAGAAGTGGGATGTTTCCAAGTTTGATCAGGAATTGAGAAACTTGCTGTCTGATTTCAATTTCGGATGTCCTAGCCTGGATGATCTTTGGGAATTCCATCGCAAACTCGCCACCTCTTTCAAAGAAAGGTACACAGGAGACAACATTTAAGTTCTTTTCTTAAAGATAAAAATATAGTCTTTTCGGGGGGGGGGATATTGAATCTTTTTGATTAAAAAGACAAAGCTATGAATGCACTGCTAATGTTTGTATGAGTTGGTCATGAAACTAAATTTTTATACAAAATAGTTAATACTGACTCTTGCAAGCATAAGACTGCCTTGAGTTAGGAATATTATATTATTGTACTTGATTAAGCCTAATGTTATTTGCGATGTTTCAGATACAATATAAGTGCTTTTCTTGAAAAAAAAATTACTATTACTCATGCAAATAGTAGATTGCCTGGTATTTGGATTCATTAATACTGCACTTGATTAATGAAATCTTTTTGGTGGGTGGGCTGTTTCAGAAACAATGATTTTTCCCTGAAAAGTTTAATATATATAATCCTTAAAATTCTTATGTGTTTGGTTTGTATTGGGAATGACAACACATGTGCTAAAAATGATTTGTTTTACACTCCGTCAGGTTCACAAACGACACGCATTACAAAGAAGCGGAGCAGTGGCTGACCATCAATATTCCGAGGTTTATCCCATCTGATACCGACCCAGCCCCTATAATTCAAGATCTACTCCAAGTCTACACCGGGTATGTTAGTGCGGCAGTCCAGAACTTCGAACAGGTGGAAACCCATATGATCACCGGAAACACGGACGACATCATGAACTACATGGCTACCTTCCTCAGTAAGTATATACATTCATTTTAAGTTTTTTGGTCTAATGTGGAATTATTACAATAAAGTTCGTTTGGGGATAAGGATAATCTGGAGTTAGTTAAACTGTGAACCTAAAATTTTAAATGCTTCAAAATTGTAATGAAATTATATAAATTGATGCAATTTAAGGTTCTAGTGGTAATACTGCATTCGAATAAACAAACAGAACTTCAAAGTTTTTAAACAGTGCAGTTTATTTCCAAACATCAAGTCTTTTCCACTAGAACTTTGAATTGGTCATTTATTTGTAATTTCATTAAAAATTGTGAATCGTTTAGAATGTTAGGTTCATAGTTACACACAGATTGAATGAAAAGCATATGAACAAAACTTTCAACGTTGGTGTTAATAATTACAGGTCCAGACCAACTTCAATATCTGAGGACTCTCTTTGAATTCATGAACACTGCGGATACGTACGGCGGAAACATGAACTTGGACGATTCGCCTTATTCAGTGGATGAAGATTAATTTGCATTGGACAATGTACGTTTTTGTGAAGACTGGCAATAGGAACCGCAGTTCTCTCTGTGAAGAAACTCTTCGCCCCTAGTTAAAATGCCTAGTGAGAAGCTAAATTTTGTTTTGTTTATGATCTGTTTCAATAAATAAAAATTAAATATGACATCTTTAAGTTGTGATACATGAGTTGTATAAACAGAGGAAGAGTTCTGAAAATTAAAAAAAAAAGTGTTGGACATGGATTACTTATACAGTTGTTCAATAAACGAGTGAACTTGTTTGAAATCAATTACATGTACTAGTATTGATACTTGAAGCAGAATCTTTTTGAATAAAAAGTTCATTCTATAATTACGGTATATTCATGTAAGTCCAATGTCGAAGATTTAGAACAGGGAATTAAATGTTGCAATCTAGTTTACAATGAAAACATTTACGCTCTTAAATATTGATATACTAGTACTTTTCTATGATTTATTTTCCAAGTACATTTGCCAAGAAACAGATAAATGAAAAAGAATGATGAAAATCGTACCTTCAAGTGTTTTAAAAGAGGTGGGGCATTAAATAGTAATTTAAACAAGAAAATACACCATATGTACCTTTTGTCCTTTCGGGAATTAAAATCCCAGCTTTGCAGAAAAAATGCAAAACCCGCAAAAAATGGGTAATGTTTTTTTTCTTTTCTTTAATAGCTGCAAAGTTAAATCCCGTACTATCGGTACTAATAAACGAAAGACATTTTATTTAATATATCGAAAATCTTTGTGACCAAAAAATCACCTTATACGATAAAAATGAACAAGTATTTTAAAGCCGCTTGGTCCGATTCTAATCGTTAAAAAATATATTCGTTTTTCTTCTTGAAAAATAATTGTCCATAAATTGTTTCACCTTTTGTGAAATTATATCCCCAAAGTCTTTTTCTTGTAAAAGATATCAAAATTCAAAAGTTAAAAAAAAATTTTTGTTAGGTCACACAAAAAATAAACTTATGTTGATATCACGTGCAATTCCCTTCAAAAAATAAATTTATCGCTTACATGTATATCTCATGAAGAACGAACCCGAGCATTTTTTTTCACAACAAAGTACTTCTACCTGTACACGGACAATTGATTAGCCATGTTACTATAATTCCTTTGAAAAATATCTGATTTTCCTTTATTCTTTCAATATGCATATTGATATAAAAATTACTTTGGATTATATATTCCATGACTTAGACTTCTACTTACGGAAAAAAATGGTCGGGTTT